GTCCCCATATCTACCCCCCTTCCTCGCCCATCTCCGTTTCTTTCTTTTTCCTTTTTTCTTTCTCTGATGAGAGAAAGAAAGGAGGGAAAAGGGCGAAACGGGGAGGGGTAAGCGAGGGGGATAGACATGGGGCAGTGGTGAGCAGAAGGACATGAGGTCCATTGTACACGTGGACATACAGATACGTGTAACACGTGTGTGAGCCGCCAAATGATGCATGTTGGACACGTGTGGAACTATTCACAGATTGAACAGATTATTGAACAGATTGTACCGATTGTACCAATGGTACACTGTTGTACAGATTGTACACTTCATAGTACAATCGGATCGAAGTCATCGCTGCGCCCCTGCCAGAGACATTATGGGTAAAATGGCTTGTGCTTTTGCAGAAAGCAGGTTGCCCCCAAAACCATTTTATGCCTGTCTTGTCAACCTTGGTGCACAACAAAGTCCCACAGCTTTACGCGCCCCACCTTCTGTGGTTCCATCTAGATAAGGCAGCCCTCACAGATAAGGCATACAGCCATTTAGGTCTACCATAGCAAACTGAATAAAGTCGCCGTCGTCTCCGCCACCTACAGTGGTCGGAGGCATCGGACCAGTTCTTGGCATCACAGGTTATGGGCACCACACACTACCACTGACTACCGATCCGCAGCACAAGATCCCCAATCCCAACTGCGACAAACGCGCGAGACCAACACCACCCCGCGCAACACACTAACCCTCGTCCCCAGCTCTCTAAATCCACGGAACAATGACAGATCAACAAGCATCGGCCCCGGGACAACTACCCCGACTCACAGCAAGTAACCACACTTACTGGTACGACGCACTTGAGATCTAGGCTCGCACGATCAAGGCAGCACACCTTCTCACCACATCACCGAGCATGACCACAGAGCCGAACACGGACGCACCGCAAGAACAACAGAAAGCGGACATGATCAGGAAAGCCATAATGCAAAGTCTCACCAACGAAGTCATCAAAATCCTGCCACCCCACATCCTACGTTACGAACCTCAAACAATCTGTCACATCATAAGATCTACAGTTGACACATCGTCGACGGAGAACCACGAGCTCCTCGATGCAGAAGCTTGCAACACGAGATACCAACAGGGACAGGAGTTCAACGACTATGTTGAAAAACACAGAGAGATCCGAGACAGGATGCAAGTAGCGCAATTCTAAAATATCAATGTGGAACGCACCACAGTGAGGTACATGATACAGGGAATGGCACAGCACCCAGACATGGGACAACTCGCCATCATCATGACAGGAGACCCACCCCTCACCATCAACGGGTTTATCAACCATGTGCAGCGAGTCTAGCTAATGCACAACCAGATGCATACACAACAAACCGCACAAGCACCACGCAAACGCGCAACCAGAATGCAACCCAGGCGGACAGTGAGCAACAAACCTCACTACACAAAACCCACAGCATACAAAGGTCCATGGTGCACGATCCACGGCAGCATCAGCCACGAAACAACAAACTGCTACGCGCGTAGGTACAAACAGAAACAATCCCACGCACAAGCGCAAGCAGCGCACAACAACGTTGACACACAGACTGACGAAACAAACATCTTGCACCAGTTGCATGATCGTTTACACGCGATCGAAGAGCAACTGCAAACACGCGACGACACGAGCGAAGGTACGCAAAAATTCTCATCGACTCCGGAGCAAATCCAACTCATACCGCTACACCCCACGCGTGTATGAGACCCAGCAACGGTACACTAACCACCACGGCAACCGGCCAACGCGTCCCAATCACGCACACTGGCACAATTAAGATCACACAGAAGAGGAATAGCGTACGAGTACCAGCAGTGCATGCGCCGAGCATCAAAGAAAATTTGCTATCAGTACACGACCTGGCAGCGCACGGACATGTGACGTTCTCCAGAACCAAAGCAACGCTTCACAAACCGACGCGCTTGCCACCAGCAAAACTCACCGCACATTTCGAAAACGGTCAGTACCGCCTCCAACCACAAGCAACCGCCAAAGGAGCAAGGACATACAACCGTAAAACAACGACCAGCAAAACTCGTGCCAAACCAGCACCCAAAAAAAATGCAGGCACCCCCAATTTCACATCCCCCTCACACGGCGACGCAGCGATCAATTACCATTCAACACCACGCGACGCCAAACACCGACACTGCGAAACACACCCAGCACACCGTCGAGACAACAAGTCCCCACAGAGGCAGCACAGCAAATGGCGGAATGGCACATCCGCCTCAACCACGCCAACCCAAAGACAATAGCTCACATGTCACGACACCAATTACTCCCTGGAATGCCAAAAGGCCTACCAGACACCAGTGCCCAAATGACATGCACCGGGTGCATACACGGAAAAACAGCCACGAGGCCACACAAAAGCACCGCACACCACGCAGAAAGAGGAGAGAGTCTCTCCTCGGATGTCTGCGGTCCAATACACCCCCTGTCCCAACATAACTGTCGCTACTTTCTCACAGT